CTAATGCATGCTGAATACTGCAGCATAGTGGCACACGTCATTTAATTAAAGTCAGTTATCCACAATCACATGGCTGACAACGATGTCAATAGATTATTTTCTTGTTGTTGTAGGGAACCCGGAGTCGATTCGAGTTGAGTACTGCGAGTCCCAATCCTCCAACTCTTCTGCATGTGACCGTACAGAATGTCCATTTTGTACAGTCAAATGCAGAAGAGTTGGTGTTAACGTCCGGAGTTTAGTCACAGTTTGGGAGAAGAAGAAACTCCCTGGCAAGTCTTGTTTTCATTTGGTTTTGTTGGCGATACTTGATGGTACACCGTATTGAAATGCCTCTACTTATCGAACCTCAAGTAGACACAAACTCTCTTAAGACAACAGTGAAAATGATATAACCTTAACAGCCTCAAGCGTGTTCGATTAACTAGGTATGTAAGTGCGCTTGAAAAGGTGCTTAGTTAGACGCTTACGCTCTGAGCGTAGCCAGCTGGAGGCCTGGATTTCCAAATGAATGCTATTTTACCTTGGCATTACTTTTTTTCTAAGCAATTCAAGGTGTAGCACTTCGGTTTACTCAGCAGTCCATCACCAACATTTCATTGTTCAGGCAAAGGATCTTGCCATTTAATCCTTAACTTAGAAACCGGTTAGTGTACTATATGTTCTGACTGGTCGACAATATGCGAGGCCCAAGCGACTGAATAGAAGACGGTAAAACGTTTTCCGGGACCAGTGGTTTATTTGTCGGACTTTTCGAACTCGCACGTGAGCCCATTGTCAAGGAATGAAAACATGTAAAGCTCACTGCATATTTAACTCATCTCTGCCGGAAGTGACCTTGATCTTGACCTCTGCCCTCAATCTGTTCGCGCAACGCGAGAAAAACATCACGATCCGCATACTTCGAAATCAGAACCGCAAAAGATTTATTACACATGGACAGGCGCATACGGAATTTAGTTTTGAGTTGTACATTGCAAAGAAATATCTTCATTACGGAAGCTGCTGTTTCAGGCTTCTTCCCGCGTGTTTCATCCGCAGTTTGCATTTTGAATATTTGTGCCCGGTGGAATAATTAGCACGAAACAACTGCTTACTATTTCTCAATTACAAATAAGCTCGTCTTTCTTTTTCAGATATTTCCACCAACAGATGCAAGATTACCGTTGAATATAATGAGGACTTCGACATGGCAGAACCAATTCCTCCCCTAAGGATTATTTCAAGTAAAGCATTCCTCAGTATCCAGCCAGGTAGGTGAATATTTTGCTTTCATTTCCTCTAAGTGACCTTTGCTTTAACTGTTTTATTTAGCTAAATATTTTGCTTTCTTGAAGTTTACTTAGTTAGCTGAACAGTACATATTATAAACTAATCAGCGGTTTTGATGATATTTTTTGCAAGTCGACATGCAACTGCCTGCGACGGTTCTAAGTCAAGCTAAAAAGTAGATTATGACGACCGTGTTCCCTAACGAGATCGGTTAGCGCCTTCCTCACATCACATTCTCGATCGCAACCGAAAAACGCAATGGCAGACAGGCGCTTACCGATCCTTTAGGGAACTCACCCGTTCCGTTGTGTCT